TTGGGTTAAACAAATGTGTTTTTCAATTTTAAAAGAAAATTTTAGATTTAGTGAATAATTATTTTCTTTATCTCATTTTGTGTATCTCATATTATTTGTGTGTCTATTTACATTTTTTAAAAATGCTAATGTTTCTTTTCGAATAATATATTTTTAGATTAATGCTGTTTATTCTGTGAATTCGTTAACTATCAATTTTCTTGATTATTATAGTATAATTAATCACATCAAAATTATATTCTTAATGTAGTTTTGTGTAATTTGTTATGTATAATTGTTTTCATATTTTTTTATGTGTGAGGTAATGCTAGTTACTTGTATATTAGTGTGATATGAATGTGTATTATTTTATGCTTTATAATCAGATTGAGTATCATGTGTGACACATCTATCTTGATTGTGTGTGGGAGGGGTGTAGTGTTTCCTCTCTTCACCAGGAGGCGCACTGTCCTCCGGCAAGAATTGTTCTTTAGTATAATAGAGATAGCTGTGTGTGTGTGTGTGCTCGGCACACCTGCGTGTTAGGTCGGTGGCCATTTTGAAATATTATCGCGTAGATCCTTTGATTTTAAAATTTTCATTTTCGTAGTAAATAAATGTGCTGTCCTCAAGAATATGTTTGTTGGTGAAACTACAACAACATTCCACACTTTGCCACAACATATCACAATGGCCTTGTAAAGAACAGAAAAACTACATTTACGACTGTGAAATACGAAAAAACATGAATTTCCTACTTTTCTTACTTGTTAAATTTTCTGTACAAATTTTACAGTAAAAACAATGTAAACGTCATTAAGTATGAGATACCCAACCGCGCGAGAACTTTCGGGTTTTTTGCGCGCGAGTGAAGCCGGGTTAACTCAAATGTCGAAATATACTAGAGAGCGCGTGCACTAATGGCATAGATAGTATTGTAGTGTATGGCATTTGTAAATAATTTTCAATATATAAACAACCGTCTGCCTAAGACAGGTTCCCTAGGAGAGAGAAAAAAATTTCCATTAAAGACGCGGAAGTTATTTTTCAAGAAAACTGCTCTGCCGAAACCTTGCTCCCGAAAGGATTTTACAAAAGGCATGAATGCTTTTGCTGTATCGTATGGATTCTATTCATTTAAAAAAACGCTCGAACCCTGGACCGTTGGCTTAAAGCTTATCGCTCTTCCGAATAGGCTATCCGGGCTCCTTGATCCGAAATTTTCAAGTTTCTACAATTGTTTTACTAAATGCACGCAAATGTAAGGCGCTTTAAACAGAACTAACCCATCATTCATTTGAATGAGTCATATTTTTATAAAGTGTATGAGATATTAACATGACAATAGATTTTATTTAGAATATAACCTGTATAATGCTTCGGTATAATTTTTTGTTTTGTTTGTTAAAAAAGCAGCTCTCTCTTCTTTGGAAATTCTTTTTATATTACTTTCGTTTTATATAAGAACAAGCATCTGCTTAAGACAACGGATCCTAAGAATGAAAAGAAATTTCCCATTGAAGACTGGGAAGATATTTTTCGAGGAAACTGCTCTGCCCAAACTTTGCTCACGACAGAATTTAAAGAGAACCCCTGAATGCTTTTATATACATTATCGTACAATTCAAAATCATCTAAAAAGAACATCCGCACAAGGACTCGAACCCTGGACCATTAGGTTAAAATCCTAACGCTCTACCGACTGAGGGTATCCGGGATCCTTCGCCCGGGAAACCCCTTTCCCAAGCTTCTACAATTGTTTGGTAAATGAAATCATGCTACGTATGTTCGCAAATGTAAGGCTTTTAAACAGAACTATCCCATCATTCTTTTGAATGAGTCATATATTTTGTAAAATGTATTACATATTAACATAACATATAGAACTTGAATGGAATAAACCTGTATTATGCTTCTGTATAACTTTTTGTTTTGTTTGTTAAAAACAGCGGCACTTTTGGAAATTTTTATAGTATTTTCATTTTATACAGAACAAGCATATGCCGAAGTTTTTTCAAAGGAAGCTGCTTTGCAGGAACATTGCTTTCTCCACAGGATTCTATGAAAACTCATGTGAATGCTTTTACTCTATTATATCAATTCTGTTCATTTAAAAAAAGGCCCGAACAGGGACTCGAACCCGGGACTTTAAGAGTATTCATAGTATACAGTAAAGCATTCATGAGTTCTCTTAAAAGTACTGTTGGAAAGGTTTCATTATAGCAGATTGCTTGAAAAATAATTTTAAATCTTCAATGGGAAATTTTTCTCTCATTTTTAGGGTCTGTTTACTTAGGCAGATGCTTGTTCTTATATAAAATGAAAATGCTAAAAAAAGAATTTCCAAGTGCACCTCTTCTTTTACAAACAAAACTAAAATTATACGGAAGCACACAGTTTATATTCTATAAAATTTAATTTGTTATGTTAGAATCATACACTTCATAAAAATATATAGAGATTCAAAACAGGATAGGATAGTTCTGTTTAAGCGCCTTACATTTACGAACAGAGGTAGCATGATTTCATTTTTACTAAAAATGTATTAACTTGAAAAGATGTTCCGATGAAGGCGGATTGCTCAGTCGGGTGCTCAGTGTTAGGGTTTTATCCTAACTTTCCCAGGATTCGAGTCCCTGTTCGGGCGTTCTTTTTAAATGAAGAGTATTCATAGTGTAGAGTAAAAGCATTAATGAGTTCTCTTGAAGTCCTATCGGGATGTTATTCTTCAAACAATCTGCTTTAATGAAACCTTGCTCCCGCGAAAGGACCTTAAGAGAACTCCTGAATCTGTTCTCTATTCATGAATTCTATTCATTAGAAATGAACGCCCGAATAGGGACTCGAACAGAACGCTAGTTTAAAAGCCTAACGCTCTACCGAAATACTGTATCTGGTTTCTTCATCCGAACCTTTTCAAGTTTCTAAAAATGTTTAGTAAAAATGAAATCATGCTACGTATGTTCGCAAATGTAAGGCGCTTTAAACAAACATCCATCATTCTATTAAATAAGTGAAATATTTTTATAAATTGTATCAGTTATTATATTAAAATGAACTTATATAGAATATAACCTGTATAATGCTTCTGTATAATTTTTTGTTCTGTTTGTTAAAAAAAGCTGCACTTGGAAATTCTTTTTATAGCATTTTCATTTTATATAACAACAATAATCTGCAATTCAATGTGCCCTAAGACCAATAGAGAGAAATTTCCCATCAAGACACTGAAATTCCTTTTTAAGCAAACTGCTTTGCCGAAACATTGCTCCCCGACTGGATTTTATGAAAACTCCTGAATGCTTTTTACTCCTATTTTATGAATTCTATTGACGTGCAAAAGCCCCCGAACAGTATGACTCACGAACCCTCGAAGCGTAAGGTTAAATGCTTACGCTCTACCGACTGAAGCTATACGGGTTTCTTCGTTCGAACCTTTCAAGTTTCTGCATTGTTTAGTAAAATATGAATTCATGCTACGTTGTTGGCAAAATGTAAGGCGTTTTAAAAGAACTATTCCATCATTCTTTTGAATAGTCACATATTTTATAACCATATATTATATATTAACTCAACATATAGAACTTATAAAAGAATATAACGTGTATTATGGCTTCCGTATAGTTTTTGTTTTGCTTTTATAAAAAGCTGCTCTTGGAAATTCTTTTTATATTACTTTCATTTTTCTATAAGAAAAAAATACAACGGATCCTTAGAATGAGAGAGAAATTTCCATTGAAGACTGGAGTTATTTCGGACTCTCTAGCCAAAGTTTGCCCAACGATTTCAAAGAGAACACCTAAAATCTTTAGCAGTATCGTTAATTCCGATTCATGTAAAAGAACGTTCGAACAGGGACTCAACCCTGGAACTTTATGTTAAAGCCTAATGGTCTCCGACTAGCTATCGGGCTCCTTCTTCCGAAACTCTTTCCAAGTTCCTACAATTTTTTAGTAAATATGAAATCATTCTACGTATGTACGGAAATGTAAGGCGCTTTAAACAAAACTATCCCTTCATTCTATTGAATCAGTCATATTATTTTTACAAATTGTATAAGATATTAACATAAAATATAGAACTTATATAGAATATAACCTGTATTGAGCTTTCTATAATTTTTGTTTTGTTTTTTAAAATAATGCTGCACTTGGAAGTACTTTTTACACAGTACATTCCTTTTATATAAGAACAAGCATCTGATTAAGTGAAGTGACCCTAAGATAGAGAGAAATTTCCCATTGTGTGTGAAGACACTGAAATTACTTTTTAAGCAAACTGCTTTGCCGAAACATTGCTCCCGAAAGGATTTTATGAAAACTCATGAATGCTTTTACTCTATCTTATATGAATTCTCTTTATGTAAAAAGAACGCCCGAACCGGGACCGTTAGGTTAAAAGCCTAACGCTCTACCGACTGAGCTATCCGGGCTCCTTCTTCCGAAACTCTTTCCAAGTTCCTACAATTTTTTAGTAAATATGAAATCATTCTACGTATGTACGGAAATGTAAGGCGCTTTAAACAAAACTACCCCATCATTCTATTGAATCAGTCATATATTTTTTATTAATTGTATAAGATATTAACATAAAATGTAGAACTTATATAGAATATAACCTGTATTATGCTTCCGTATAGTTTTTTGTTTTGTTTGTTAATAAAAAGCTGCTGTTGGAAATTCTTTTATATTACGTTCATTTTATATAAGCCAAAAAGACAATGGATCCTAAGAATGAGAGAGAAATTTCCCATTGAAGACTGGGAAAATGTTTTTTAAGAGAAAATTTCTCTGCCCAAAGTTTGCCCAACAGAATTTCAAGAGAACACCTAAATCTTTTACAGTATCGTATGAATTCTATTCATGTAAAAAGAACGCCCGAACAGGGACTCGAACCCTGGACCGTTAGGTTAAAAGCCTAACGGTCTAAAAGCAAACTATCCAGCTCCTTCCCAAACTCTTTCCCAAGTTCCACAAATTTTTTTAAAAATGAAATCATGCTAGCATTTCGCAAATGTAAGGCGTTTAAAAACAACTATTCAATCATTATTTTGATTGAGGGCATATATTTTTAAAATGTATTATACCCAACAGAACTATAGAACTTATATAGAATATAACCTGTATTATGCTTCCGTATAGTTTTTTGTTTTGTTTGTTAATAAAAAGCTGCTGTTGGAAATTCTTTTTATATTACTTTCATTTTATATAAGCCAAAAAGACAATGGATCCTAAGAATGAGAGAGAAATTTCCCATTGAAGACTGGGAAGTTATTTTTCAAGGAAACTGCTCCGCCCAAAGTTTGCCCCCAACAGAATTTCAAGAGAACACCTATAAAATCTTTTACAGTATCGTATGAATTCGATTCATGTAAAAGAATGCCGAACAGGGAATCGAACCCCGGACCGTTAGGTTAAAACCTAACGCTCTACCGCTTAGACTATCCGGGCTCCTTCTTGCGAATCTCTTTCCAAGTTCCTACAATTTTTTAGTAAATATGAAATCATTCTACGTATGTACGGAAATGAAAAGGGGCTCTAAACAAAACTATACCTTATTCCTATTGAATCAGTCATATATTTTTATTAATTGTATAAGATATTAACATAAAATGTAGAACTTATATAGAATATAACCTGTATTATGCTTCCGTATAGTTTTTTGTTTTGTTTGTTAATAAAAAGCTGCTGTTGGAAATTCTTTTTATATTACTTTCATTTTATATAAGCCAAAAAGACAATGGATCCTAAGAATGAGAGAGAAATTTCCCATTGAAGACTGGGGGAAGTTATTTTTCAAAAATGCTCCCAAGTTTGCCAACTTTCAAAAAGAAACCCTTAAAAAATTTTT